TTTGTGCCACGGATCAAATATTGAATTAAGAAAACTCCAAACTATTGTGCAGTAAAATAAAAGCAGAGATCAAGCGGTAACAGGAGGCCTATGGTAAAGCCCATCTGAGAGCGCTTTATAACCGTGGAATGCTGTGGTGTGGTTGCAAGGCAGCAAAGACTGCTTTGGTCCCCTGATCTCTTCCCAACATAGGGTCTGCGTGAAGGTCCATAAAGAGGGCTTATGCAAGAACTCTGGGAAAGAATGCAACTTCTGCTCACAAGACTCAGGAGGTCTTTGCAGGTGGGAGCTTGCAAGGTCAGAAAGCCTTGCAGGGCAGAGATAACTGGAACGCCACAGATTCTGCCTATGTTCTCAGAATATAGAGTCATTCTGATTGCTCTGTGTCCACAATGCTCAGGAGATAAAAGCCCCTTGATGCATTGTGTGTGGTCAAATCTTATGGTGCCTTACCTGCAGTGCCTCTTGGCTGATGCACCTGGTTAGACAATGGGTGGTAAAAACTCAGCGTCCTTAGTTAGCATTTCTTAGAAGAACCACATTTTCTATTGAATGCTGCAGACACATGCTCTCCTCTGCCACTAACTTCTTTTTCAACCCCCCTCCTCACAGCCTGCAAGATTAACAAGATAATGCACCCAATAAATGCATGTGGAGCCCAGAGCTCAGTGCCAATGCGGATCACCCCTCGTGAGACTGTGTTAGACCCCTGGACCCATGCTGTGAACTTCTACTCTTGTCTCTGTCTTATTTCTTTTCTCACTACCTCATCACCACTGGGACACGACACAGGACATGCACGTACAGGGTTGGGCTGGTTCCCAACAATGGAAAGCTGAAGCCACTGGGAGCTGGAAGAACTAAATCAGACTCCTCCCTAGAGCTTCTGAAGGAGCCAGACTTGATGACTCCAAGATCTCAGCCCAGTGAAATTGATTCTGGACTTCTGGTCTCCAGAGCTATGAGAGATGCTATTCCTGTTGTTTTAAGCTATCACAGTTTTCGAGAACTTGTTACAGTACCCCAGGACACTAACATAAATGGGGCTTAGGGAAAATCTAGACTAAAGGTGCTTTGTTGATTTGCAATCTCCTTCCTTAAATTTCTAATACTAGAAATAAATAGATTGGTGGAAAATTTTGTGATTGAAGAAATGTACATAAATACTATGGTGTACAGAGAGGCATCTGCTAGTTTATAAGATAAATATAGATAATTTTAGTTGAAATGGTATGTGACTAGTAATATTTCACATAACATTCTGAGTTATTCAAGGCAGCATAAAAAGTGCATTAGATTCTCTTCTCATGTATGTGCGTGTGTCTATCTATAGATGTATGTACAGCTCATGGTGCATCAGCTGGTACAACCCTCAGGACACGACTTCATGTCCTCAGTGCCCCATTTCACACATGAGGAAACTGTTCATGAGAGCACATGGCTGATTTATGGCTGATTCGCATAAAAGTCACTTGATCAGCAGTTTTTGAAGCTGAACTTGGAATCTAGGACTGTCTGACCTTAACTATGCTCCTTCCACAGAGCCACATTCATTCCATAGAGGAACCCACAACCTATAAAACCAGAGACGAGACAAAGCTAGAGATGCAGGGTGGATTTCTTAACACAAGGTCAGTGCTACCTCTGCTCCTCATCACGCCGACACCCAGCTTAAACTCAGGCCCTTCTACAGTTTTGTCTACAAAGGTCAACTTGCTCAAAACCTTTACAAACTTTTTTTTATATACAGAAGAAACTTTTTTTATATACAGCAGCAAAGTGAAGTCTTGCATGTCCCTAACCACATTTCGTCTTCTCTGCCATCCCCATCTCTCTGACTCAGTCCTTGCTTCTCAGGTTGTGTCTTGTACAGCTAATTTCCCTTCGAATGTTAAAACAGCAAACCCATAGCCCCTCCTCTTCTCATGTGATGTGAGAGATGACCTCAAGGCTCTCAGATACCAAGATTGTAAAAGACCTAACCCAGAGATTGACTTCACAGACTTTCTACATAGGAAGAATTCTGGGTCTACCTTTCCTCGTAGAAAAATGTTCTCTGACTCTTGTCAAAATTGACAGCAAAAGATGACAACATAGAACTGTTTGGGAGAACAGAGGACAGTGATACACTCAGGGAAGTAACAGACACCCCTCCCCTTGCATTGGTTTCCTGTTGCTGCTGCAGCTAATTACCACAACCTTACTGGCTCCACATAACACACGTGTATTATATTACCTTTCTGGAGGTCAGAAGTCTCGATGAAGTAAAATCAAGAAGTAATAAGGCTGTATTCATTCTGGAGGCTTCAGGAGAGAGAATCCAATCTCCAGCTTTCCATCTTTCAGATGTTCCCATATTCCTGGCTCCATGGGCCCTTCCTATGTCATTCCAGCATTCCTCTCCATTGTCCCAGATCCATTCTGGCAGCGATGCTACTCCCTCTCTATTATAAGAACCTTTGTGATTATGCTGGTCTCATCCAGATAATTCAGAATACTTTCCTGACCTCCAAATTATTATCCATGTCTGCCAAGTTATTTTTGACATATTCATAAGTAATATTCATAGATTCCAGATATTAGAACAATGATGTCTTTAGGGAAGTGCATTATTCATTCCACAAACAATTCTTATCATCCCCACAATGGTCTTGCCCTAAGGTAGAATAAAAATGTCATAAGGCAGATTTATGAGGCAATAGACCTAGAAAAAACCCTGAGACTCCAGGATTCTCTGATGTGTGGATCTCAGATTCTGGGGGGATTCTGATTCTCTGCTCTGAGTGGACTCCATGGTGTGCAGCCATTTGTGGAAGGCTTCTTTGATTTTGTGACCTAGAAAAAAATGGATCTCTGCTAAAAGCAAATCTAAGGAAGGCTAGCAAAGGGAATTTAAATATTTCTTAAATTTTCTGAATTTTCTTATGCATTAAAACATGAGAAGTGGCAGTAATTCAAACCAAGATGTCTTCCAAGAATGAGGATTTTTCAAATGTTTAAGGTTGGGTCCCCCCAGTGAGAAGGATGACAAAGATTTTCATGCGGGCAGTGTATTTACAACATGCAGGAAATAAGCAAGTGAGCAAGGGAGGGGAGGAGGAACAGTGAAACATCTCTCAGCAAGGAGCCACCTCTGAGGATAACAAGAGCTCAAGCCCACACAGAGACACAGGAAAAAATGCTTCTGTTATTCTACCTGAGAGGTGAGGGAGCTGGGGTATATCTACACCTTCCATGGAATTACTGATTGATAGCGGTCCTAGAGGATGTTAATTTTAGGCAATAAGGTCTGCCACATTTGCAGGCAGAGCTGCCTTCCCCAGGTTCAGTGAGAGCAGTGAGGGGCAAACAGAGCCACAGAGAGTCAGCTGAAGTACAATGAATAGAAACACCAAGGTGTAGTAACAATGACTGCTAAAATTACACAGAAAGAAAAAAGTGCATTTGAATCCAGAGATGTATCTCTCTGAATCTGGTCATTTGGATCTTGGCAGGCTGTTTGGTAGCCATTTCCCTAAAATTCAGTCCTTGGAGAAGCAGGAGGAGGTTTGTGCACAGGCAGCACTATCTTGGTCTGGCTACTCCTAGTTGTGCATGAGAAATACTCCCTGAAGTCCCTGGGCGTCAGTCCACTGATACTGATGCAATTGGCTGCACTGCCCCTGCTGCTGAAGCAGGCCAACATGCCCCGGGCAAGGGCAGCTGTGTGAGGTATTGAGGTTCAAATCAGTGCTTAAGGTTTATCTGGATTCAAAATATTATTTTCGTCTACGTGGGCAGCGGCATGGCAGGAGATGGAGACTCTCTCTAACTGGATGTGAAACAGGGAGGCTGGCATCTGGGTCAGGATGATGTCCTCACTCACTGCTGAAGAGTAAAAGAGGAAAGGGTTACTGATGGTGCACAGCAAGAACATGCACTGAGCAGCAGCCGCCCTCACTAAGGAGAGAGGGTTCACTGACCCGACCTTTCCCCATGGCCTCCCCCTCCCCTGCTCTCCAGAAAGACAGGCTATGGGGCTGATGCACCTGAGACCCCAGAAACAGAATGGTGCGGAGTGGAGCTCAGAGCATTACCCAGAAAATGTGGCCTTTCTCATCCTGCTTTGAAACAATTGATTATTTGAACCTAGATTGATTGAGGGCTTCAAGCGGTTCCTAATCCAGCCTCCTAAAGTTAGTGAGTAGAACAGAGATTTTAATTGAAATAATCAGACTTGGCATTACTAGTCAGCCCTCCATGCTGGTGACCATAAGAAAACATACCCAAATGCAGGAAAAAAGATAGAATATAAGGATCCTTATGCCAAGAATCAGATGCAACCCATTTAGCCCTGGGTTTAAAGAGACCCATAGCTCTGGATAACGGCAGAATTATGGGTGGCTTAAGTATCATCTTTGTGCATCTTCAGCTAACCGCTTTTTCTTATAGTGTTAAGAACAGTGGCTAAAGTTTTTTTAGCAAATTCTATTGAATTTATTAAACGCACTTCTGATGAAGCCTTATTTTCATTTAATAAACAAACATTTTAACACTGACAGACATTGTTAGTATAGCACTAAATACTTTTGCACTCATCAAATTCATTTGAGAGAGACGTTGTTATACAGCAGTAAACACAGAGTCATCAGATTCCTTAGAGAGAAACTGAAATTTATGACAGCCCCACATTCTACAACTTTATTATGAATTTTCTGCCAAAAATGATGCTTTCCTATACCTAATACAAGTATAAAATACATTATTTAATCTAGCCTTAGGTTAATTTAAAATTTTGAACTTTCACTCCAAAAATATGTTCTGTAACCATATGGCCACCAGAGAAAAGTATATTTTCTCAAGGTAAGTCTGTGCTGCCCTGATCTGACCTGGGACCCAGGGGACACTGCCCCTGTGCTGAGTTACTGAGATAGGCCAGCCCTGCAGCTGTGCCCAGCCCGCCCCATCCCCTGCTGATTTGCATGTCCCAGAACACAGCCCCCTGCCCTGAAGACTTCTTAATAGGCTGGTCACACCCTGTGCAGGAGTCAGTCCCAGTCAGGACACAGCATGGACATGAGGGTCCCCGCTCAGCTCCTGGGGCTCCTGCTGCTCTGGCTCCCAGGTAAGAAAGGAGGTTACTAGAAAGTCACTCAGCCCAGTGTGCTCAGTACTGCTGGAACTACAGGGAAGTCCTCTGATAACATGATTAATAGTATGAATATTTGTTTTTATGTTTCCAATCTCAGGTACCAGATGTGATATCCAGATGACCCAGTCTCCATCCTTTCTGTCTGCATCTGTAGGAGACAGAGTCACCATCACTTGCCGGGCAAGTCAGGGCATTAGCAGTTATTTAGCCTGGTATCAGCAGAAACCAGGGAAAACTCCTAGGCTCCTGATCTATGCTGCATCTAGTTTGCAAACTGGGATTCCCTCTCGGTTCAGTGGCAGTGGATCTGGGACAGAATACACTCTCACCATCAGCAGCCTGCAGCCTGAAGATGTTGCCACTTATTACTGTCAACAGCATTACATTAATCCTCCCACAGTGTTACAAGTCATAACATAAACCCCCAAGGAAGCAGATGTGTGAGGCAGGGCTGCCCCAGATGCTTCTCCTGGTGCTCTATCTGCTGAGAGCATTTCTCATACTCAGTCAGGTTTTGTGAAAGTCATTGGGAGATTATCATAGAGTGGGTCATGGAGGCTTCTCTAAACCCTAAGCCTCTTCCGCCCTCATCCCCAGCAGAAAAGATGTGACAGTGCTTGTCTTGTCTTGATTCAATAAAAAAAGAGATACATTCACTTGAGAAGTCTGTATAATGAGATAATTGAAATTCATACAGCAAAAGAGTAGCTACTCTCGGTATTCCAAGGAGAAATTGTTGAAGTTGAATAAATTGGAGTCTAAAAGACAGTTTTTTTGAAGCCTACGGTATGTTATTCATGAAGCATGTACTAGAGATAGGGGATTCTCAGGTGCTCCTCCAGAAGCCAGAGTGCAGCTCCCTCTGTTGGTATGTGCCGAGTACCTGTGTGATGATCCTCAGATCTGTCTGCGAAACCCAGGGTCGGGGGTGCTGATGCTCTCAGCTGTCTGCAGCACCTCTCTAGGTGATTCTTCCATCCACACCTAACTCCACGTGTTTTACTTCAGGTGTCAGTGTACATGAATCCAGCACTCTGACTTCCAAATCTCATGGAAGGGCCCCTCATTGAGCAACTCTAAAGAAACCAGAGAGAGAAAAGGGGTTTTGGGAAATGTGCTTCCAAAAGTGATAGTAATGATGGGGAATTGACAGCTGACAGGCAAGTAAGGAGACTCTTTCCATAAGTCTCAAAAGTTTGCCAGTTAAAAATTGTCCCAGAATACATTTAAATGTGCTTTCAAGTGTTACAAGCAAGTTTGGGATCACAGCAAGGAAACTTTATTATGTCACAGATAAAATTGGAAAATCAGGAAATTGTATGAAATATACAATGAGATTGTGTGTGATGGTTCAAGCCTGTAATTCTGTGATAGTTAATACTGAGTGTCAACCTGCTAAGATTGAAGGATGTAAGTATTGTTCCTGGCTGTGTCTGCGAGGGTGTTGCTAAAGGAGAGTAATATTTGAGTCAGTGGGCTGGGGAAGGCAGACCCACCCTTAATCTGGATGGACACAATCCAATCAACTGCCAGCACGGCTAGACTACAAGCAGGCAGAAAAATGTGAAAAAAGAGCAAGGAGAGTCAGTCGAGTCCCAAAATGGAAGAACATGGAGTCTGGTGTTTGAGGGCAGGAAGTGTCCAGAATTGGAGAAAGATGTAGGCTGGGAGGCTAGGCCAGTCTCTCCTTTTCACTTTCTGCCTGCTTTATATTTGCTGGTAGTGGATTAGATTATGCCCACCAGATTAAAGGTGGATCTGCCTTCCCCAGCCCACTGACTCCAATGTTTATCTCTTTTGGCAGCACCCTCACAGACACTCCCATGATCAATACTTTGTATCCTTCAATTCTATCAAGTTGACGCTCAGCATTAACCATCACACTTCCATTTATATGCATATATATACATCAAGATATATATATGTATGTTATATATAATATATATATTCTCTTGATGACCCATTTATTTTATTTTATTCATTTATTTGCCCTGGGTTCCCTGTACCCCCCTCTTTCCACTCCTCTGTGAAGGATATATAACCATCTGGACCTCACTAGGTATTTTGGTAACCAATCTCTTGTGATTTTTTTCTTCTGCATTTTAAAGAATTTTTTTTCTTACCTCCTTCTCCTATTATTTGTGTTTTTACGATTTATTTTATAGTACAAATAGGAAGTTTCCCTCTTTTCCTCTAAACAAGTAAGATCCTCAAAATTCAGTCCCTTGGATAAGCAGCAGGAGGGTGTATGCAGAGGCTTTGCCACAGTGATTTGATCACTCCTAGTTAAGCATCAGTAATAGTCCCTAGAACCCCAGACTGCAGCCCACTGATGCTGATTTTCTTCAGTCCACTTCCTCTGCTACTGAACCAGGCTGAGATGCCTTGGTCCCTGCTAAAGATGTGAGATATAATGGGTGCAAATCTGTGATCAGTTTTGTCCAAATCCAACTGATTTCTCCATATACATGGACATTTTCTGGATAAGAGATGGAGACACTCTGTCCTGGATGTGAGACGGGAGGCGGGCATCTGGGTTAGGGTGACGTTCCCTCACTGCTGAAGAGTAAAAGAGGAAGGTGGCATTGATAGTGCAAGGCACGGACATGCCTTGAGCAGCAGCTGCCCTCACTAGAAGAGAGGATTCACTGTCCTGGTCTTTCCCAAGGTCTCCTCCTCACCTGCTTTTCAGGAGCAGCTCCTAAGCTCCTAGGAACATGCTGGTGGGGAGTGCAGCTCAGAGCATTACTTAGGGGATATGATCTTGCTCTTTTTTATTATAAAGACAATTAATCCCTGGATAATTTCAAGTTTATCCTAATCCATGCTTTTATAAGTGGAGGAAGAAACAAGTGACTTTTTAATTTTTTTAATCATCAGATCTGGCATCACTAGTTAACCCTTTATGCTGATGAATCCTGGGAAGAAATAACCAATGACAGAAAAGGTAATAGAATATGGAGGTCCCTAAACCAAAAATAAGATACATTCCATAAAATCCCTGGCATTAAAGAGGTCCATAGGTTTGAATAATGGTAGATCTGTGAGCCATACACACTTTGAGGAGACAGAGTATCATCTTTATGTATCTTCAGGGAATTGCTTGAACACATAGTGATAATAATAATGGATTAAAGTCATCCCAAAATACTTGCAAATATATTTTGCATTATTTTGAGAAATTTCCTTTTTTAAAAAAGTGAAGAAACACTTTCACACTCACAAAACTGTTGTATCAAGATCAAGCATGGAAATTATTTATATTTTTTATATTAAAAAAATGCTGTAAATATACCACAAAGTATCCTGTTCCCTTTCAGAGCATATTGAATACCTAATGATCACACGCTCTAGAACTCTACTATGAGTTTCCTGCAGAGAAGAATATTTTCCCAAATAATCCCCATACACCAATGGAGTACATTATTTCATCAGGTACTCAGCAGTATTTCAAATTTTGAGAAGTATCAAAAGACGTGCTTTGTTATAAAATGGTCCCCAGGAAGAAACACATTATTTACAGATAAATCTATGCTGCCCTGGTTTGACCTGGGAGCTTCGGGACACTGCCCCTGTGCTGAGTTACGGAGATGAGCCAGCCCTGCAGCTATGCCCAGTCAGCTTCATCCACTGCTGATTTGCATGTTCTCAGAGCACAGCCCCCAGCCCTGAAGACTTCTTAATAGGCTGGTCACACTCTGTGCAGAAGTCAGTCCCAGTCGGGACACAGCATGGACATGAGGGTTTCTGCTTGGCTCCTGGGGCTCCTGCTGCTCTGGCTCCCAGGAAAGGAAGGGAACATTAGGAATTTACTCAGACAGTGTGCTAAGCACTACCTATCTCTTCAGGGAGGGCTTCTTATAACATGACTGATTGTGTAGATGTTTGTTTTTATGTTTTCAATCTGAGGTGCTAGATGTGACATCCAGATGACTCAGTCTCCATCCTTCCTGTCTGCATCTGTAGGAGATAGAGTTACTGTCACTTGCCAGGCGAGTCAGGGAATTAGCAATGAATTACCCTGGTATCAGCAGAAACCAGGGAAAGCCCCTATGCTCTTGATCTATGCTGCAACCAAATTGCAGTCGGGAATCCCATCTCAGTTCAGTGGCAGTGGATCTGGGACAGATTTCACTCTCACCATCAGCAGCCTGCAGCCTGATGATTTTGCCACTTATGACTGTCACCAGGATGACAGTTACCCTCCCACAGTGTTGCAGGCCATAACAATAACCACCCAGTGAAGCAGATGTGTGAGGCTGGGCTGCCCCAGCTGCTTCTCCTGTGCCCCCATCTGCTGAGAGCAACTCTCAAATTACAGTCAAGCTTTGAAGGTCACTGGAAAGTTTTGCTAGAAGGGAAGGCGTCCTCTATACCTTAATTGTCTTTCCTTCTCATCCCCGGCAGCACAAACATGGAAAAGCCTGTCCTGATTTCATTAAGAAGAGGTTATTACACCAGAGGATTCTGGGTTATGGTGTGAGTTTCAATTAATATCTTAAAAAACGAAGCCACTCTTGGAATTTCAAGTAGAATTTTTTTTCTAAATACAGGAAATGGGAGTCTAAATGACAGCGTATAAAAGGCTTTGGGGCATGGTAGTCAAAGATGCAAATACTAGAACAGAAGAATAATCTGGGCTTCCCCTAGAATTCACAGTGCATCTGCCACAGAAGGTATAATTGCCAATCATGTGGTTTAAGACATGTCTGAGAAGCCCAAATTTGGGGCTGCTGATGCTCTGCCTGGAAGACCTGCCTGAATTCTATAGCATTTGCTTACAACTGACCAGCCAGTATGTTATGCCAGAGAGAACTCTCACATGCACCTGTTCCAGATTTAACAACTTCACCTTTTCTTCATGAATATTTCAGTCTTCATCTTTACCCATAACCTTTTTCATTCACTTTACTTCTGCTGACCCCCCATGGCCATGTTGTGTCTGAAGCTGAGGAAGCAGCTCTGACTGCAAG